CTCGTAGTTCTTGGGCGACTACAGGACATTATATTCGCTCAGGCTCTGAGCGTTCTGCAAGCTTGGGCGATAACGCTCCTTTGTTTTTGAGCTTTTATCATGTTTAATGATATTTCTAGTTGGGCTTTCACCATAATCTCTCTAAATGAGCTTCTTCTCATGGGCTATTTCCTTTCTTGGGCCATTTGAATTTGGTTATACATTTTGTGCGTCAACATAGTGAGCACAGGAAAAATCTTGGTGTAACTCCAGGATACAATCATATTCCCGAATATGGACTCCGGGTTGATTATGAAATTCCGGTGACTATGCAATTGCCTTCGGTGCCAGGATAATGAAAAGGGAGGCGGTGTTTGTGGATTCGATACAGAATCTCAGAATTTCTTGTGCTTGTGTAAGAAGGAAAACGTCACCACCTACTGTGCAGGTATGCTTTTCTCTTCGAATTTGTTATAGTGTCAGAATATGATCTAATTCTATTGCAATATTAAAATATTGATTATTTTGTTTTGCTGCAGATCAAAATTTTCAGCATAATAGGCCTGGAGTAGTAGCAGGTGATTAATTGTTGCCAATGATTTAAGAAATTAAAGCATGTAATTTAATTCTGAGTTTCCATTAGGATATATATATTTTCTCAACCGTCCCTCACTTGCATACGGGATTCATTTTTTCATCAAAATTTTGACGGGATTTCAAATATGTATACAGGGACTGTGACCGCGGTTTCAGTTGCTGGAGCATTTGGGATTGGAGCTGGTGTTTGGTATCTGAGAAAGTTGAGAGCAAAAGTGCCCGTAACACATGGTGTTCAAAGCAATGAGAAACTTTTATGATTGCATTCCCCGAAGCAAAGAATCAATTTTCCCTTTTCAATTCTCTTCTCCTTTTTTTTTTCTTTTCATATGCTATCTTCTTTTTTCTTGTTTTTTACTTTGTCATTCTTTAAGAAGAAAGGTTTTGTGCCCTTCACCCTTGTAGTTACATACACCACACTAGAAATTTTAAAACCAAATTGCAAATTAAATTTCTTTTTGATTATTGGGAACTTGCAAAACTTCAGTTGGAAATTTTACACAATTGGATAATCAAAAGAAGCAAAAGCACTGTGCTAAAACTAGTGCTTATAATATGAAAACCTAATCACTTTAACCTTTGCCCGAATTCTGCAAAAGGGGGCTGAATTAATTTATCATGAGAACTATTTACACGAATCAACATGCTTTAGTACTGCATCTCAAAGGGCCAGCATCGGACGTTAGAGCAAGAACCTTCGACCCATCAGCGACCGGAAATGCCTGGGAATTGGTGTAACCAGGTGCACAACTTCCCCATCCTGATTGAATAAAATAAGCTCCATTCACAAATTTATCCTTGGATGACCTCCATTTCCAGTTCTTCCACCCATTCTCAACCTCTCTCTTTGTAATCTGTTTAATGTCAACGAATCCCATTTAAGTAGAATTAAGGTGAAAAAAAGTGATTAACTTTATATATATATATATATTGGACTTACTTGTTTTGCATCAGTGTTCTTGGGAGCCATGTAGTAATTTCCTTCACTAAAGATGGTTGGATTAGCACTGCCACCAACAGCATACATTTCCCACATATCGTATCTATTGTTGGCCACATGAGAGTAACCTAGCCTGACCCTGCTTCCCAGGATTAGTTTATGTAGATGAAATTAATCATTTTTGTATATAACAGATTAATTTGAAGTACCTAGAACTCGAAATACATAGTTACTCACCTAGGCATCCTTTGAACTAAGCCAGGTCCGAAATGATTGAACGCAACCGTCACTTTGATAACTTTGTCCTCCGTATTCTTATCATCATGCCCAAATAACATAACCTGTTAACATAATCTAGTCCCGTTCAATACTGTGTACCAAGAAGTGGTAGCGAGAATTCCTTTGAGTTTGGACTAAATGTGACTACTTACTTTGTCATGTTGTTGAAAGAAGTTGTTAGAGATGGTGATGGCAGTTGAAGCATGGATTACATCAATTAGGCCATCGGCGCAGCGTGCAAGAAAACAGTGGTCAATCCATATATCAGTTGACCCAAATATATCGATGGCGTCTCCATCAGAGCCTTTGCGGTGGCCAACATGGCTCGGGCTGTTTCGAACAAGGCCAGATTGTCCTGGCTTACAGTCATGAATGCTAATCCCATGTATAATAACATGGCTGACATATTGTATTGTAATGCATGGCCCATAAGCAATTTCCACTTTCATCCCTCTCCCATCTACGGTCTTAAAACTGTTTATCATAAGCTCATTCTTAAGAGTGATGACCATGTCTTTTGCAAAGATAATCCACAATGGATTTGATTGGATTGCACCGTACCGAAGTGTGCCCGGTTTAGGATTTATGGGATCGTCTGATGGATCTGTTACCACGTAGGTGGCACCCTTCTTCCCTCCAATAGCGTTTTTGCCAAAGCCCACTGCGCAATCAGCCAATGCACCGCGGTTGGCCGCCCAATCGGCTTTGCTCCGCCAACAAGAATCTATAACATTCATTACGTTCTTGTTTGAATAGTTAGGAGAGTAATAATCAGCTAGTAACGGGGGTATGCTTAAAACTAGAAGACTGAGAATCAATGGGAGGGTGGCTGTGGACGCCATTAATTTGTGTAGTGAGATTTTAGGTACAATGTGCTACGAAAATAGTTGATGTGTGTACATTATATATGAATTTTGTAAAGGTGGTGGCCACGTTAATAGGACTGTTTCTTTGGGTTTTTGGCTAAGATTTTGGGGAGAAAATAGACGTGATGGCACGAGCTGAAGGGTTATTGACCTGTACAAAATCTATGGTTTAGCCTCTGAAATTGGAGTTTATTTAGTATTTGACCTTCTAGTCTTTATAATAAATTTCTTGAGTTCAATGAATGTCGTTCACTAATAGTACGGGTTGAAGAAAATATGCCGGCCTCAAAAAGTTTATTGGGAGTGGATTCTTGTTTTGGAAGATAATAAACATTTTTTCGATTTTAAAATGATAAAATGTAATATCCTTTCACGAAATTTCACACGTCAGCATTTGCTAAAGAGTAATGCTATGTAACCCCACTAGGGTTACAACCCCAGTCTAGATGACATTAAATGATTGGTTGAATAAAATGTGAAATTAAATGATTTATTTAATTTTACCTATCATTTAATGTCACAATAACGCCACCTAGGCTGGGATTGTAACTCCAGTGGGGCTAAATAACATTACTCTTTGCAAAAAGTGAATGTAAAAAGTGGGTTAAAGATATAATAGTTATTTTGATATAGCTAAATAACTTGTTGACATAATTCCCAATTTTTTTTTTTGAAATTTTATGATATTTAAAGAGAAAAAGTAACCAAAAAACGAGGTATGATGCAATAGTTGTTGCGATTACATATAATTCTCTTCATAATGGTAAAGTTCGATGATTATTTTATACATGAATTAGAAACTATAGTATCCATTTTGTTTGACATATTATTCTTTAGGAATGCAAAGCTTGTGTGAGAGTAAGATTTCACGAAGCTCCATGAAAAACTCCCTCATACTTGTTCATTTTACTTCATTTAATGGAGAATTAAAAGGCAATCCCGACTTCACAAGTACGTGGTAGATGTACTTGTTCATGGCCTAGAGTTCTTGTAAACATAATAAATTTGATAAATACGATTTGTACTCCAAATTAATATATATATTGACAATAGTACATGACAACTCGACCTCTCATTCGTTACATACATTGATGACAAATACATTAATAACAAATTCCTGATGCAAATAATAGATAATCAAAGGCAAAAGCCAATAGGGACTGGCTTAATTATTTGTTACATATATAGAAAATAAAAAATTCTAAAACTTTATGCATAACTACACATTCCAAATAAACATTTATTTCCTTTCTTGCACTTATTGTTGCAACCTCCACAGTGCTTTTTGTTGGACCAAGGATTTACACACTGTCCTTTGCAACAAATTTCCGAGAATCTGCATTTATTACCACATTTGCCACAATTGAATCTGTCTTTAGCTACGTTAACACATCTTTTCTTGCAACAATCTGGTCCAGGACTGCCCTTAATTCGACAAATTCTAGGATAGTTTTTGCATGTCATCTTGACACGTGATTTTTGAGCAAGAAAACGGCTAACCCCGCGAAGTGAAGAGAGTGGTTCTTCATTTTTCACGTATTCATCATCAGGTTCATCGAGGAGCGATTTCTCTTGAGTTGATGCTGCTGAAACTGAAAGAGTAATGGCTAAGGCCATTACCATTGCTAACAAGAAGAAAACTCGCAGAGATTTCATGGCTTCTTGTGTTAATTAATCTAAAGGGATTTTATGATGAATAAGAATGAAGATTACAAGTGCAGAATTGGAGTATTTATAGGTTTATGTATTTAGTGGAGTAGTCCTAATTCAACAGTCAAATAGCTATAGTTAGGCAGTCAAAGAAATACTATGATCTGTTGTCCACAATTTACAGTGTATACAAGAAAGGATTTCTGACCTAAATTAAACCAACCTAATTAATTCTTAGGATTTCTGACCTGAATTAAACCAACCTTATTAATTATTAGTTTTTGGTCAGTTTGCTCGGCTAGGCTGTTAGAACTCACGAGTCTTGCCCCAAAAACGTTGAACATATAGATTGAAATATAACTGATATTTGGACTTGTGCAAACTGGTAAAGAAGCACTATGTGTTCAAAACCTTGTACGTTTTGACATTGATTTTGATACTGTATTTCAAGGGCTGACCCATTGGATTTAACTGTCAAAACTAACAGTTGCCTATTTTCTTGGGGTGGGTAAAAGTCCCGAATGGATCCATATTGAACATTCAGTTCGGTTCGATTCTTCTTAGGTTAAATTGGGTAATGGATATTAAAATCGAGAATCGACGTGTATGATTCAGTTACCAAGTACCGAAGAACTCAATCGGAACCGAACCTCTCGAATATTTTTAATTGTGCTTCTCCGATTATGTCTTGTAGAGNTCGAATATTTTTAATTGTGCTTCTCCGATTATGTCTTGTAGAGTTTCTTAGTGCTGCAATCTAAGCAGTATATGATTAAATAGCTGGTAAGAAATAGTCATACAATAAAAAAATATTTTATTTCTAATATTGTTAATTTATATTACATGTCATTTTTTATATAGCTTGAAGCCAAGGAATCAATGGGATGAAAATGAAATTTACCTATGTTTTATTGTCATTATTTACCTTTTGATCATTTGTATGCATTGGTGAATGAGTTTTATTACTCAACTTGTAATTTGTGTTTTCAAATTTGGACTATTTTCGTTATTAGTAAGATGAAACCTATCAAGGTTAATTATCCCAATGGTCACTGAACTTTACCTAAAGTTTCCACCAGATAACTGAACTTTAAAAACTACGCGGTTAGTCACTGAACTTTCGAAACTGTAACCCCATCCATCACCGAACTAACTTTCGTTAAAAAACTTGACGGAATTGATGATGCGGCTAACAGAATATCTTACGTGGCACGTTTGTGAGTGACGTGGAATTTTTGGTGATTGATGGGATTGTAATTTCGAAAGTTCAATGACTAACCGGGTAAGATGTATAAAGTTCAGTGGGTGGAAATCGTAGGTAAAGTTCAGTGACCTGTGGAAACCGTAGGTAAAGTTCAGTGACGGTTAGGGTAATTAACCTACCAACTGTATAAAATTCAGCGACTTGGTGGAAACCATAGGTAAAGTTCAGTGACCTGATGGAAACCGTATGTAAAGATCAGTGACGGTTAGTGTAATTTACCTAAGTTTGAAGCTAAGTTGCTCCGGACATTTATTGGGAATCTCTTCATCGTAATACATCAAAATATCTGACTAGTAAGTCTGTTTATTGTCCAGAGGTATCGCAATGCCAACACTGTTTTGGCATCTCTTGTTCACGGCTTCTGTGGTGTCAGACTAGTTAGTTTGCTTACATCATAATTCTTTTGTCCAAAATTGAATAACAAGGAGATCTAATTGACATTTCTTTTTCAGAAACCTTTTGTTGATAGTGCTGAGCATCTTACAAAGGATGTTGTATATGTGATTTTGGCTGGTGATAGTTTTGAGTAATATATTTTAATAATCATCACATCTACTTGTGAAGATGGAGATGCGGTCTTACTACAAAATTCTTTTGTCCAAAATTGAATAACATAGAGATCTAGTTGACATTTCTTTTTCAAAAACCCTTTGCTGATGCTGCTTAGCATCTTACTTAGGATGGTGTATCTATGATTCTGGTTGGTTATACTCTTGAGCAATATATTTTATACTTCCCATGTCTGGGACATGGACTCCCCATGTCGCAGGCATTTATGCTTTAAATTGAATTCAACATATGGACATCAGGCAAGCAAATTAATCATATATGTGCAGCTGAAACTTAGTCATCAAATGTTAGTCATTATATGTTAGTCATTCTTTAGTTTAAGAATCGTCAGAAGCAAACTAGGAAATGAATTTTTTAAATAAAATTCCTCACCTTGTATAAAATTAGTTTTTTGTTTTAAGATTGCAGCTCCATCTTAACAAGTAGATGTGATGATTGTTAAAATATATTGCCTAAGACTATCACAAGCCAGAATCACAGATAGAACATCCTCTGTAAGATGCTCAACACTATCAACGAAGGGTTTCTGAAAAAGAAATGTCAATTACATCTCTATGTTATTCAATTTTGGACAAAAGAATTATGATTTATACTAGTCTGACACCACAAAACCTGTGAACAAGAGATGACAAAACAGCGTGGCATTGTGCTGCCTCCAGGACAATAAACAGACTTACTAGTCGGTCTATTTTGATGTATTACGAATTTACGATAAAGAGATTCCCAATAATTGTCCGGACCAACTTAGCTACAAACTTAGGTTAATTACCATAGCCGTCATTGAACTTTAACTATGGTTTCCACCAGGTCACTGAACTTTACCTACGATTTCCTCCAGAATCATCGCCAGTCATCATATTGAGGCAATTTTCTTGCTCTAATACCAATTTCAGTATGGAAGTGTTTATGAATTCTTGTAATAAGAATTATATAATAAATAAGAATGATATTTGAACAATCATATCTTGTATATATTGAATAATAATTAATTATTGTTGAAAAAAATGTACAATATATCTACATTTATAGGCAAAATTATTTCCTACTTATACTACTACTAGGAAACCAAAATAAGAAAACTAATAAAATCTTAATTTAAAAGAAATTAGAAATCACGTTCTAATCCATAAAAAAGGGAAATCATATTCTAAACAAAATATTAGGCAAAAAAAGATAAAACTGATTACAACTAAACTTCGAGTAAATTGTTTGAGTACTCACTGAACTTTAACATGGTCACGACTTACTCACTGAATTTCAAATTGCCTCTAAATGGTCACTGAACTCGATTCCAATTGCCCACCCGACTGCCCTCTGAGTGTTGGATGTGGTGCAATTAATGAAAGTTCAGTGACCATTTAGAGGCAATGTGTAGTTCAGTGAGTAAGTTGCTTCTCCGATTATGTCTTGTAGAGCTTCTTAGTGCTGCAATCTAAGCAGTATATGATTAAATAGCTGGTAAGAAATAGTCATACAATAAAAAAATATTTTATTTCTAATGTTGTTAATTTATATTACATGTCATTTTTATGTTGCTTGAAGCCAAGGAATCAATGGGATGAAAATGAAATTTACCTCTGTTTTATTGTCATTATTTACCTTTTGATCATTTGTATGCATTGGTCAATGAGTTTTATTACTCAACTTGTAATTTGTGTTTTCAAATTTGGACTATTTTTGTTATTAGTAAGATGAAACCTATCAAGGTTAATTATCCCAATGGTCACTGAACTTTACCTAAAGTTTCCACCAGATCACTAAACTTTAAAAACTATGCGGTTAGTCACTGAACTTTCGAAACTGTAACCCCATCCATCACCGAACTAACTTTCGTTAAAAAACTTGACGGAATTGATGATGCGGCTAACAGAATATCTTACGTGGCATGTTTGTGAGTGACGTGGAGTTTTTGGTGATTGATGGGATTGTAATTTCGAAAGTTCAATGACTAACCGAGTAAGATGTATAAAGTTCAGTGGGTGGAAATCGTAGGTAAAGTTCAGTGACCTCTGGAAACCGTAGGTAAAGTTCAGTGACGGTTAGGGTAATTAACCTACCAACTGTATAAAGTTCAGCAACTTGGTGGAAACCATAGGTAAAGTTCAGTGACCTGATGGAAATCGTATGTAAAGATCAGTGGCGGTTAGGGTAATTTACCTAAGTTTGAAGCTAAGTTGCTCCGGACATTTATTGGGAATCTCTTCATCGTAATACATCAAAATATCTGACTAGTAAATCTGTTTATTGTCCAGAGGTATCGCAATGCCAACACTGTTTTGGCATCTCTTGTTCATGGCTTTTGTGGTGTTAGACTAGTTAGTTTTCTTACATCAAAATTCTTTTGTCCAAAATTGAATAACAAGGAGATCTAATTGACATTTCTTTTTCAGAAGCCTTTCGTTGATAGTGCTGAGCATCTTACAGAGGATGTTGTATATGTGATTTTGGCTGGTGATAGTCTTGAGTAATATATTTTAATAATCATCACATCTACTTGTGAAGATGGAGATGCGGTCTTACTACAAAATTCTTTTGTCCAAAATTGAATAACATGAGATCTAATTGACATTTCTTTTTCAAAAACCCTTCGCTGATAGTGCTTAGCATCTTACTTAGGATAGTGTATCTATGATTCTGGTTGGTGATACTCTTGAGCAATATATTTTATACTTCCCATGTCTGGGACATGGACTCCCCATGTCGCAGGCATTTATGCTTTAAATTGAATTCAACATATGGATATCAGGCAAGCAAATTAATCATATATGTGCAGCTGAAACTTAGTCATTATATGTTGGTCATTCTTCAGTTTAAGAATCCTCAGAAGCAAACTAGGAAATGAATTTTTTAAATAAAATTCCTCACCTTGTATAAAATTAGTTTTTTGTTTTAAAATTGCAGCTCCATCTTAACAAGTAGATGTGATGATTGTTAAAATATATTGCTCAAGACTATCACAAGCTAGAATCACAGATACAACATCCTCTGTAAAATGCTCAACACTATTAACGAAGGGTTTCTGAAAAAGAAATGTCAATTAGATCTCTATGTTATTCAATTTTGGACAAAAGAATTATGATGTATACTAGTCTGACACCACAAAACCTGTGAACAAGAGATGACAAAACAGCGTTGGCATTGCGCTGCCTCTAGGACAATAAACAGACTTACTAGTCGGTCTATTTTGATGTATTACGATAAAGAGATTCCCAATAATTGGCCGGACCAACTTAGCTACAAACTTAGGTTAATTACCATAGCCGTCACTGAACTTTAACTACGGTTTCCATCAGGTCACTGAACTTTACCTACGATTTCCTCCAGAATCATCGCTAGTCATCAGATTGAGACAATTTTCTTGCTCTAATACCAATTTCGGTATGGAAGTGTTTATGAATTCTTGTAATAAGAATTATATAATAAATAAAAATGATATTTGAACAATCATATTTTGTATATATTGAATAATAATTAATTATTGTTGAAAAAATGTACAATATATTTACATTTATAGGCAAAATTATTTCCTACTTATACTACTACTAGGAAACCAAAATAAGAAAACAAATAAAATCTTAATCTAAAAGAAATTAGAAATCACGTTCTAATCAATAAAGAAAAGAAATCATATTCTAAACAAAATATTAGGCAAAAAAAAAAAGATAAAACTGATTACAACTAAACTTCTTATTATAAATATCTAACATTAATCATATTTACAATAGAATTGTCCTACATCAACCTACAATAGAATTCTCTCGATGAAGATTCTTGGAATATATCACTCCGCGTCTTTTCTCACAAACACAAGTATGATGGCCCAAATAAATTTGAAGGCTCGAACTCAGTAATAACCAATCTATAAGCTAAGCACTAAACGAATGATCAGCAGAAACACACACAATTGCTGAACTAACAAACGCATAATTGTTGAAATCCGTATGAAGTAGAAAAATAAAATAAAAAATTTGTGGGCAGGAAGAACGCATGTTGTGTGATCCCTTGCACTAGCAGAAAATAAGATTTTTTCATAGCATTTTAAAGACTTAGGAACCAAGAAACAGGTGCGCAAGTCATAGAAGCAAGAAACAGTCATAAACACAATCTCTTGCACCAAGTGTTATTTTGAAAATTATAACAGCAGGAACATGGTCGTGGTAACAAGAAAGATCATCGTTTTGCAAGTTTTAAATTGAGTTTGTAATTTTAGGGTTGCAATTGGGAAATAAATTCTAATTTAGAGCGGGGGAGAGGGTAGAAGTCACTGGAGCAGTAAAGAGGTTATTTGTGATATTGGCCCATAGTCATATCCATTTTACTATAATTTTAGAATAAAGATCATTTTCTTTAACAACTTTATGTTAATGGACTCCCTAAAAAAAATTGGTGTGCTTGTAAACGAAGTGCCTTACCAACTGAGCTATAGCCCTTGGGCAAATCTAAAGAAGGTTTTTCTAAACGTTACAAAAAATGAAAATAATTGAAAATTAATCCAAGATCATACTTGCTTTGATACCATGTAAATTTTGAGAAATTAATGATCTCTTTCTCATTGATATGTCGAATACAATATATATACACACACACACACACATACTAGGTGCAAGCAACGTGCAATGCACGTTTGCTTAATTTATATTTAATATTTTTGTTTAACAATTAATTTGTTGTTAATAAAGATATAATTTTTTTGGTTAATTAAGAGCGTGTCTGGGCGCCCGCAAAGAGGAAGGAAAATTGATTATGTTATCCTTTTTTTTTTTTTAAACCTATAGCCCTACAGTGAGAGAATTGGTCCAAAATTGTTGCTCCCAACGGCATGAATTGTATTGCCAACGGCTTGATTTCTGCTGAAAAGCAGAAACAGACACCCTATAAATAATTAATGATGTAATGTTTATGTAATTGATA